GAAAGGGATTTTGATAAAAAAATTTTATTGGTGATGGTTAATAGATGAAAAAAGTACCATGGGTAATTTAGTGATGGGGAAGAAGAAATTGACTAAAGTTATAAGAGCACTTCTGGAAATTAAACAAAATGTTGGGAGGAAGGTACTTATTGTGTAGTGGTAGTGACCTTACCTCTGAGCCAGGATACCTAAGTCAAGTCCCATCTGCTCCAGGAGTGTGTGTTATAACATCTCTGAATGGGTTGATTAGAAAATGTCTGCAAAGGGTCATTTGGCAGAGAGGTAGTGTCTCTGAACCAGAAGGCCCAGGTTCAAGTCCCACTTGGGTGTGAATAGATAGAATCCCCACAATGTGGAAACAGGCCCTTCGGCCCAACAAGTCCACACCGAACCTCAGAGCATCCCACCCAGTCCCATCCCCCTGTAACACACCTAATCTACACATCTGTGAACACTTTTTGGGCAATTTCGCAAGGCCAATCCACCTAACCTGCACATCTTTTGGACTGTGGGAGGAAACTGGAGCACCCGGAGGAAACCCACGCAGACACGGGGAGAATGTGCAAACTCCACACAGGCAGTCGCCTGAGGATGGAATCGAACCCGGGTCCCTGGTGCTGTGAGGCAACAGTGCTAACCACTGAGCCACCGTGACGCCCCAGGGATGTCATAGCATCCCTGGACAATTTAATGTTCAAAAATGTTAGGAGGAAGGTACTTGTGGCACAGGGGTAATATCTCTACCTCTGAGCCAGAAGATCTGGGTTCATGTTCCACCCACTCCAGAGGTGTGTATTAAGATCTCTGAATGGGTTGATATAGAAAATATTTTTTAAAATGTTGCAGCAGCTGGTGGTTTTGTGGTAAATTCACTGGTTTGGTAATCTAGAATCCGAGGCTAATGATCTGTGGACCTGGGTTCAAAGATCTGGAATTTTTAAAAAAAAACTAGCTAATGGTGACCATATTACCATTGTCATTATTGTTATAGCCCAACTGGTTCACTAATGGAAGGAAATGTGGGGAAGAAAATCTGCCACCCGAACTGGGTCTGCCTCCCTATGACTATAAGCCCATAGCAATGGGGTTGACTCTCCTTTTGTTTTGGAAAAAAACAATTGGTGTCCCTCCTGAGCCAGGAGACCTGTGTTCAAGTCCCACTTACTCCAGAGGTATGTAATAAACATTGTTGAAAAGGTTGATTAGATGAGATAAAGAATGTTGAGAGAGCAAAAGAAGAATGTTGGGAGGATTTGGTGACATTGCACAGCCCTGACAGATGTCACATGTAAATAAACAATAATTAGAAGCACAGGTGATTTTGGACTAAACAACCATTCAGTCATGCATGTAAGTACATCTGGATATTTAAGAAAAAAGTTGTTGGGAGGAAGGTTCTTGTGCCGTAATGGTAGTGTCCCTACTGCTGAGCCAGGAGACCTGGATTGATGTCCCACCTGATCCAGAGCTGTGTAATAATATGGCTGAACAGGTTGATTAGAAAATATTAAAAATCTTGGAAGGTTCAGGCTTTTGGAGTGCAATGGTAGTGTTCCTCCCTCTGAGTCAGGATACCTGGGTTCAAGTCCTACCCTTTCCAGAGGGTCCAGACTGCTCCAGAGTTATGTCATAACATCTCTTAATTGATTGATTTTAGTAAATAAAGAGATTGGGAGATGAAAATTTGACCTGATCAACTGTCATTCCAATCCCTTATTACTGGGGCCTTCCTTTGAAAATTAATTTTGCCTTTTATTTTGCATACCTAAAGCTTAATTTGGTGAAGAGGCAGTTTCAGCTTGCATGTGGTTGCTTCTCCATTACATACTACTCACAAAAGACCACTTCTTATTTTATGCTTTACATGTGATGTGTTGCATCAAATAACATGACAAGCAAATATTTTTTGTTTTCATTGTAACCTAGCTGTTGGTGAATTAATATTGTAGCTCTATTTTGTTTTAAAATTGAGAACAGATTTTAATGGAGGGCAAATTCGCAATAGCTCTTGGAAGCAGGAATTTTGTAAGCCAGCTGATGTCTGTGCTGGACAATTACGTATTTGGTACATCATCTTGATTCTGTCAGAAAGTGTTCAAGCTATACATGATTTGAATTAATTTGAGTTAAGCATGCATTTTAGGAGATGAACTTCTAAATAACAATGAGCTTCAAAAGAACGTGATGTCCAGAAACAAGCTATTTTTGTCAGACATGATCTCTCAGAAAAGGTTTAAAATGTAAGCTATCACTGGAACAGTATGTTGGTTATTTTGATGCAAATCTCAAACATTGAAGAAAGTGGTGACAGGAAATAAATTGGTGTTTTCAAGAGAAGAGTGGGTTTGCTGTGTTGGATGTGGTTCACCAGTTATGCCTTGTTAGTTTCATGTCCTGTTCTGACATCAGCTCTGGAAACCAAATATTTTTCCAATATGCTATAACTAATTTTGCTATGAATGACACACTAAACATTTGCCTGTCTTTCATCAAGTTGACTTTGACTTTCTAATCGGAATATTTGGGCTGCAAAGATTTCTGTAGCTGAGGAGAGACTTATTTTTCTGTTTTCTGTCCCCAGGGATACCTCCAGGAATTATGGGAAAACAGAAATTAAGCATAGACAAATAAAAAAATCCATTACCAGCTCACTTGGCTGGAAAGATGTCAGGGTTATCCATGAATCACAAAACCTCTTCTAATATTGGTCATTAATCTGCACTGCCTGGTTGGTTTCTGTAAAACCCACTTTACTAGAAGGGGCAGAGGCATAGTTCCCAGTGCTCAATTAATTATAGCAATCCTTAGGCTGACTGTCATGTGCAAACTTAAGTTGATACTGGACAAAATAGGTGGAAGGTGTTCTGACTATAAAGTTCTTCTTCAACACCAGAATTTTCTATGCAAGAGAAATTGAGAGACTGTTTTCCTCTCAGAATTTCTTATAGAGTTCCTTAAATGCTATATCTTCAGCTGTTGAGAATTTTTTGTTTTGTTTTTGCAGCTTGTTAAGTTGCCACTGTTACTGGCTATGTCATTGGCTTAAGTGGAACTGACCTAGAAGTGCCAGTCTTGATCTCGTCAGCAGGAGAAGCCTGGGCAATTTTGGTATCTGATCCATTTTTCCAATTTTGATTCAATTGACTTGTCAAAGATCAGTGGATAATTCACTGATTTCATGGTAGACTTGTATTTCTCCTCTGAAGAGAGAGGCAGGTTTTGGCCTTCAAAAAGTTCGGAATCACAGAGCTCTTTCTTGAACATTGTCTTCTTTCTTAAAAAAAAACTACAAATGTGAAAGAGAGGTGTGCTCACAGTCTCCATAATTATACTGGGACTAAAAGAGCTAAATTGAGAACTGACTACTTAAAGTAAGTTTATATTTTATTGACTGTAGAAAACTAAGGCATGGTCTAATTGAGATGTAGAATGATTAAAGGATTTGATAGGATAATAAGAGATACATTTCCTCTGATGAGGCAGTCCCGAACAAGGGTTCATAAACCTCAAAATTGCAGTTAGATTGTCAGGGGTGATATCAGAAGTCACTTACAAAATGGGTCCTAGAAATTGGAACTCTGCTTATCCCTGCCCAAAAAAAACTGAGAGTAGGTCGATTGAAAACTTTAAAACTGAGGATGAAAGGTTTGTGTGGTAAGTGTATTAAGAGGTATGAAACCAAGGTGGGCAAATTGAGGTTGGGATATATATCAGCTGCAATTTTGTTGAATGCTAGAATAGGCCCAAGGAGTTGAATGCTGCACGTCCGGTGAGATGGAATAGATAATTGCAGACCTGTTAGCCTCATATCAGTGAGAGGTAAAACAATGACACTTTCCCCATGAATAGAGCAGCAATTTTATCCGAATAGCTTGATGCAGTAATGATTAGAAGGGGAAGAAGCTGCCTTTTAATAAGATCATTTCCTTTGTTTAGCATTTAGTTAAGCTCATAACAGTTTTCAATATTTTTTAATTTTTTTTTCCCCTAGCTCCTGAAACAACTTCTATCATAACCTTCCATCAGTTACATCATCTCTGCTGCTGTAGACTCAAATTTGTGTGTGCATGCTTTTTTGAAATGCTTTGTTCCTAGTACTTTGATCGCAACCTGTCAATCCAGTACTTCCACTGCCTTCACATTTTTAGATCAGACTCCTGCAAAGTTATGATTACCTTGTACACAATGCTTTTCATGAAATATCAATTACTAGATTTGGCTTTATGTCTTACTCTTTCCCTTTCGCTACTAGTGAAATTCCTTAATTCTTCTGTCTTTCTACTAAGTGCCTTGATAACTTTGACACTGACTTTAATCATTTCTCCAATGGCTTAATCTATTTCCTGAATTATTCATTTATAAAGTACCCCTGGATGTCTGTATGTTATTGACACTGTAGAAGTACAAGTCGATTGTATAGATGCTAATGAGCAGTTTGATACTTTCTCCAATCATTTACTAAACTTGCAGCTAGTTGAAGGAAGAGGCTAGAAGTCATGCTGTGCTCCATGTTAGATGTATTCACCAAGTGCGGCATTTCAAATAAACCCAACAGTAATGGCAATAAGTGTCTCTTTGTACACTACTTTGAAAAAAGCAGTCAACAAATGATAAGCCATTTATCATTTTGGTTTATTGTAACAAAAATCAAAATCATGAAAGGAGACTTGTCAAATTCAAATAACATGTTTGTTGTTAATACGTTCCATACCTTGTGATGCCTACTGTTTATGGAAGGCCTCAAGCATAACAGTGAACGCTGTATGCTCACTCTCCAGGGGCACCTGGGCAAGGCTGTACTCACAGAAGAAAGGCCTGCAATCCTCCCTCTACTGCCCATTGCCTGGACCTGTTTATTGATATTTACTCACACAAGTTGTTTTCCAATGAGTGTCCCTTATTTGTATACACTTAACCAGAAATAATTCTTCTTTTTGATTACAAATTTAGTATATATGTATTATTTTGTTGGAGCTAACGATGTTCTCCCTTTGCTTTAGTTTTTTAGTTGGAGAAGGGGCTTACAAATGGGCAGTGGATCATGGAATTGTGCCGTATCCTCCTGACATGATGGCAACAAGTAAGGATTTTTCAGTTTGCTTTCGAATTCTTTTTAAAACAGCTAGAATTGTTTGAGGGGGAGAAAGAATAAAAATTTTCATTCAAATAGAAAATGCATTTAAATTTACTATACAATCTTGTCTAATTTTTGGATGTTGACGTTCATGGCAAGTTTTTCAAAAAGCTAATTGTTTGGAAAGAAAAGTGTTTTACTTCGAGGGTCTTGAAAGGTAGTCTGGTTCCTAATCTCTGATTTTGTGGGATTGTAAAGCAAAAGAGTTTTGCGATGAGAACTTTCGACATTTAATCCATTACTTTTTATTGCTGATGTATCGTTGAGTCATTCACAACATCTGGAAGAGTGTGATATTTAGTTTAATTGTTTAATTCTTACAATAAAAGGTAGCAAAATGATACCTGACCTGGACAATGCAGTGCAGGGGGCAAATGACTATCAAAAGGGCACAACAGAATGCAGAAATAATCATAAGGATTTAATTGGAGGGTAGAAGACCAACACAGGAATTCAGTTTGTTGCCTTTCTGATGTTGGTCTAAAGGACCTCACTTGGGAGAATGCAGAACATTCTGAGAAGGGATTGTAATAGCCAGAAGTTGCACTCAATGTGAGAACTGGTGACATTGGAACGAAAAAGATTGAGGACCTGCAGTCAGAATTTCAGGAGTGAGGGCAAAAGCTTAAAAGTAGCACCTACAAGATTGTTTCAGAGATAGCAGATGCTGGAGAATCTGAGATAACAAGGTGTAGAGTTGAATGAACACAGCAGGCCAAGCAACATCAGAGGAGCAGGAAGGCTGACGTTTCGGGCCTAGACCTTTTCTGAAGAAGGGTCTAGGCCCGAAACATCAGCCTTCCTGCTCCTCTGATCCAGCTCTACACCTTGTTACCTACAAGATTGTTCCTGTTTCTGCACAAGACTGAGTACTCGAGAAGTAGGATAAAACAGGTTTAATGCATAGCGCAGGAGGAAGGGCTTCAGATTTCTTGGATATTGGGCTCAGTTCTGAAGCTGAAGGGATCTGTTGTATTGCATCTGAATAAAGCTGGACTCAAATTTTTGTGACTGGTACTGGAGGGAGGCTTGAGGCAAATTTGTCAGGGGAATGGGAATGTTAAGAGAGGAGAAACATAATACATGGCAGACTGGGAAAGGCAGTTGGTACTAGAGTAAATAGCTTGGAAATAGCAATCTAAGATGGATTTGAAATGTTTGCACATAAATTTGCAGAAATGGTAAATAGGTTAGTGAGCTGTCAGCACAAAGGACTTTGAGCAAGTTGCAATGATGGAGACCTGATTTAACAAAATAGAAGGTTGTGAACTTAATTTTCATGGTTGCAAATTATTGAGGAAAGGTGGGTAGATTTTGTTTTTAAAATTTGACAGTAGATTAGCAATATTGTTTGAAAAGGTGTGATAGCACAGGTGAATGTTGATGTAGTTAAGGACCAAAGAAAAAGTCTATTTGATTACAATTAAAGAACCATTATGCTTTTGTGTATGCACTATAGCCACCTGGGAAAGAGATGCTTGTAAAATTTGCACACAACCTGTGCATGTATTCCATGTTTTTGTTTGGAGACAATGAACTAGAACGATATTGTAAAATTTGCAGCACAAGATGGAGGTGACTTAAAGCATTGTGCTTGTACCAATCCTCCGATAGCGCTTTTTACATTGATTCTGTTCCCGACCCTGTTAGCCTCTGATATCATTGATCCTACTTTTCACAAGCTTGTTTGGGGTCTATTTCTAAATTTTCAAAAACAAGTTTAGCTTAATGACCTTGCATTTCAAGATTTGTTTAGTTGCGCGGGGTTTTGAGTAGAATATTAATATGTCCTCTAACGGGACAATGAAAATGTGGACCAAAAATCAAAGGGCATGAATTTGTGTACAGGTAGCTTAAAATGGCTCATAACGAATTTGCAGTTTCTTTCACACCCCATTAGATTTATTTGTAAAAGAATATCAGTCTGAGTGTAAAGCAGGTTCCTAATTTTTAAAAATTTTAGAAATGATGTAATGACACTTGGAAAAACAACATGCACATCCTCCCTCTCTTCTCTCTACCATCACCCCTCTCCACCGTCCCCCCTGCAAAAAAAAGCTTTCCATCTTAGCCGGATAGGTATCAAGATCAAGAATCCTGCCTTCAGTATGAAGTGAAATCCCATTTTTCCTTTTTGCCTTTCTTTTGGATAGCTTGCAACCAAGCAGGCACTAGGGATCAATTGAGTGTTTTCTGCTTTGTGTCACTCAGTTTTGCATCAGAAGCTGAGTTTACTAACCAAGCCATGTGTGAGAAATGCTGCTAAATCTTTGTGACCTCCTGGCAGACCCATTTAGAATTGTTGATGCTTTTCTTTGTCTAAGTTCATTATTACTAAAATCTGAACCAAGTACAAAACACTACTTCCATTTAATGGATATTATTGGCTTTTGTGAGTAATAGTTATTCACATATTACATCTAGAGCACAAAAGTTTAATATAAATAGTGTTTTATTTTTAATCCTATTTAGAGTTCAGCTTATCTGCATTTAGGAAAAACAGACGAAAGCTGGAGCTTGCAGAGAAGGTGGAAACAGAAATGATTCAGACAAAGAAGAGAAGAGAAGTGTCTGAAAACGTTAGTGCTTCTTTTTTAACCATTAGATTAAGAACAGAAAAGTCTTTAAGTAGTCCTCAATCACATCATGTATAATTGGAGTGGCTCTTCTCTTTTTATCCCTTTTATTAGTATATTAGTTCAAAAGTGACCGCATTAGATGGCAAGAACAGGGTTCCATTCCAAGTTCGTGTAATGTTACCAGGATTTTCTGGATGCAGGGTTTCCCACCCTTAAGTTATTTAAGGGCCTCAACTGGTGTGTGAGCAGGTTGGCTGCCCTAAGTTTCATCCACCTCACATAAAATTTGAGACAGGTCAGAAGCTGGCAGGTCTGCAAACTGCCAGCAACGGATGGCAAAATTTGGTCTGGTTTGAGCCAGCTGTTTGAGGGACACACAATTGGCTTAGATGGTTTTCCCTCTTTTCCTCACAAGGCATGCATAGCTTGTACAAAAACAGAGTGGTGGAAAAGATTTCTGTTTTTGTTTCAGATGTCTAGCATCTGCAGTTCGTTCTTTTATTTATGTATGCAGAACTTGGACTCTGAATAATATTTCCCATAGTGCTATAATGGAGTAGAAGCATTGGAACATGTTGGTGAGTGGCAGTGGGCACAAACTCACTATCCATCAATAAATTGTCCACTCACAATGGGTGCAGTGCTTTTGGAAGCCAAAGGTAAAGTGCAAAGAAGTATGTTCAAACAATTAGTAAATAATATTGGAAACTGTTTCCAGATTCACCTTCATCTATTGTTTGAAATAATTATTTTGAAAGATGTAATCTGGGATACCATTAATCTTGGAATGCATATTGATCAGTAATTTTAACTCATTTAGTAACTATGGATAATGATACATATCTTCGAAAATGCACCTTTTTTTTGTGCGTGCAACTCAGTACTACATCTAAGAGTCTACACTATTACACTTTGTCCTGCTATTCTGTACTGATTTCAAAAAATTTGTCGTGATGGTTCAAATTCATATCATCCATAAATTTGTCCGTGGTGATAGATTTGATTAGTTGGATTATTCAGCCAATCATTATCAACAACAAGTAACCAGCACAAAACAAAATAGTGATTGTTCAGTTATTTTCCAAAGTCTGCCATCATGAACTGGCAAATGACACAAAACAACTAAGGTGACGACTGGAAAAAAAAAATTTGCTTCAAATTTGTGTGATGGCCCCATAGCTTTTGGAACACTCTTTTTGAAACATAATGGCCCAAATGTTCTGGTCAATGACAGAACCTGGTTTCTAATGCTGGCCTGATCAAAAGAAATTTGACCATTTGCTTTCCTGCATTGTATTTTCTTACCAGTCAGTTTATCACATGATTCCTTCGGGGATGGGGGAGGTTTGGTGATGATTGGAGACCAGCCAAGAGAATCTGTGCAGAATCCATGTACCTGTTTACGACATTAGCTACTGTGTTACAGTAAGACACAGTTCACGTGTTCCAAACCGCAATGTGTTAGTAAGAGCGTGAATGACTGGGTTTGAGATAAGTGGGCAAAGGGTATGGTGGCAGCTAGGTAGGTGGATAAGTTGGTGAGGTTGGGTCTGCGGTGTAAGGTCAGAGAGTCAGGAAGTATGGAAGGTGTGGTTCTAGAGGGCTTTCAGTGGGTTCAGTTGTATTGTTGAGGAGTTAAAACAGATTAAAACTTGTTCTAATATTGTCCAGATAAGTAAGTCTAAACCCTTTTTCAGAGCATTCCAGACACAGTTTTATTGCCCATAAGAAGTTTAAATTTCCTGAGAAATTCCTGTGTAATCTTGTGTCAAGATTTGGAGGGGATCTGATGGGTATCTTTGTGGGGTACCTCTGGTCTCTGACTCTGGAGACTGGAAGATCTGGGCTAATATTTATAACCTCAATTTGTAGAAAGCTCTCAAAAGTATAAAGAAACTTAGCTATGAATTCTGGTTTTTACATAGGAAACCTCTGAAGCATATGTGCTGCACTTAAGTCTAATCTTTTAAGTAAAGAAGCTCTTGTAGATTATCATATGGGTTTTGTCCCAGTGCTTTTGCTTAATGCTCGTGGGAGAGATTCAGTTTTTAATAGTTTATGGATTGACTGCCCTTCCTATGCACTGGAACCTACATTTTAAAAGTGTATAAGGAAACATCATGTAGCAAAGAGCTGATATTTATCATTGACCATGCTATGCCACGTTGTAACCAGAATAGCAAAAATGATGGAAATAGCAATAGTAAATACAGTTTTCAAGATAATAAAATGGTCAAGCTTTAGGATTAAAGTCTTGGGCAAAACTCCATCACACTGCTACTATGTACATGGCAACATGAGTCAAGTTTGAATGTCAGTTCCAGAAATGGAAGGAAATATAAAATGTTGGAAGAAGTCTGCACTATATGTTCCGGACGAAAAGAAGTCGAGACCTGTTGGTCTATCAGTTCAAAGACACATTGATGGATGTTTGGATTGTTTTTTAATGAGCATGTCAGTAGTCAACCAGAATTTGCTGATTATGTAAACCATGTACGTTTTGAACCTCTCAGAACAGAGCACTATTGATAATCTGGCCATTTAGGAGTATATTGCATGCATCTGCAAACTTGTGCTTTGATATTTGCTAGAAATTGAAGCTATTCCAGTCTGATTGTCATAGTTTGGAATTTACCCACCACCCTTCAAAGGGCCCATAATTTGATTAGGAGCTACAACCAAGCTCTTTACCCTGGCTAGCTACAGATCAAAGCACCTGCTTGGAACTTGCAGACAGCTAGGCTTCGGCATCCATTTTGAAGTTTAATAAGGAAACGGACTCCATCCTTGCCCTAGTTATTTCTGAAATGCATAAACCTTGTTTGTTGCTTAATTTGGTTTACATTTTCAAATTTCAGAATCATACCAGCATGAGACTTAATTGTATCTGCCTTTCCCGAGTTTACAATTCTGTTTAGTTCATACACTGTCACAGTTCTGGTAGATGACAAATATAACCATTCTTTTGGGGTATCTGCTGCCTTTGTGGCCAAATAAGGATCATTTGTGGCTGATACAAAGAATTGCATTTTGAAAATAATTCTGACATGTGCCACCTGCTCAATAAACCTCCAGCATCTGTATCTGAAGAATTTATTCCATCATTTAGGAATCCAAGATTTGAACATTTCACTGCTTTTTGAACATACTTTGTCTTTTTATAACAGTACTTGCATTTTTTGATGGCTAGTAGGTAATTTCATTCCTGTTTGCCTCTGAGCTATAGCACTCAGAACACTTCTTATTCTGTGAGAACAACAGTAGTAAAAATGTACTGAAATAAATTCCAGCATCCTCAAAACAGGGAGTGGATGGATCAGCTGGGGCTGCTGCTTATAATTGATGTCCGGTGGCCTCTGCTGGCAGACATATGTGTACAGTTGCTGGCTCAGGCTTGGTTGTGTTATTTCAGCTGCTCTGTAACAAATGGCACTTGGGTATACAACTTCACCCATGCAGTGACATGACCAACATCCCTCACTGCTTTCAGAATCAGGAGTTGAAGCAGTCGGGACTGCCTAAGAATTCATACTTCACTTGCTCTCAACTCCTGTGAGAAGTTGTTGTGTATGGAACTCATGATTACGATCTTTTTGAAATTTTCAAAATGTCTGTTAATGCATAAAAGCCGTGCTGATCTCCCATGGTAGGCGAATCACTGCTGCATGTTACTGTTTGCACGGATGGAGATTGAGGAAGAGGTAGATGTCTCTAACTTAATCCATGAGACCTTCCAGACAGTGAATTAGGCATTTTTTTTTTTGTGGAAATAACTAAAGTCATGCATACCACAGCAATTCGGTAGATAAGTTAGTTCTTTCACATCCTATGCATGTGAATAAATCTCCACACATTTTCTTGTCTGTATTTTCGGCATACGTTTTTATGGTATTGATGGAAAATAGATAAAAATTGCAAAAATCTTGAACTAATTTGGATCTTTTGTTGGTACCTTTTGTTACCAAAATCACTACGTAAATCACCATTTAATTTCCAAACTTTTCTTCGGAAACTTCCTCATGAGTTATAATTCTTTTAGAAAGTTTCTGTTTCAGCCTTGGAATCCAGAAACTAATGTGATTTCTAAATTTAAGTTTTAAAATTATAAATTTTGTTTCACCACACTAGCTTTCTCCTCTGTTCTTTATTACATTTGGTATCTGTAATTATGGGGCATAGTACGTGGCATAACCATATTTTTTCTGGAAGATGGCCTAACTTGAGACATTTTACATTTAATAAATCAATTCTAGGTGTGACTGTCTATCATATGATTTTCTGATGAAGAGGGATGGCATTTACCTTCAGACTATATTAGGAAGTTGTGATTAAAAATTTTATTTAGGGTTTTATAAAACCCAGATGATGCTGAGAAAAGTGCATGCAGTCGTTTTATTACGCAGGCTTGAGTCTTTTGTGCTAATATTGATGGGTGCACAAGCTTGCATGTCTTTGAAGCTGCTTTCCAAAACGATCATTATTGTTATAATAGAACACAATCCTTATACTTAAAACGAAACCTAAATAAAAGCTGGAGTCGGCCATTCAGTGAGATAAAAGCTGATCTGCTTTAATAATGTTTATTGCACTATCCCCATATCCCTTGATGTTTTTAATTTGCAAAAATATCGATCTCCATCTTGAATATATTTAACAGTTGAGTCTTCACAGCCCTGTTTCACACATTCACTGTCCTCTGAGTGAAGCAGTTTCTCTGTATTTGGGCGCTGCGTGGATTGTAAGTCTGCTTGTAAGAGACTCTTATCGCCTCTCACTCTTCTAAACTCCAGAAAATATAGATCCTGTATTTAATCTTTTGGTCAAAGGATAATCCCTCCATTCCAAGAATTAGTTTGAACCTTTGTCGCCCTTTATGGCAAGCATATCTTTCTTTGAATAAGGAGACCAAAACTCCTCTCAGTATTCAAGATGTGGCCCTAATGAGACTCTATTTAACTGCAGAAAGACATCTTTACTCCTATATTTCAGTCCTCTTGTAA